TAGGCTGAGTAGAACTGTCTACTTTCTTGGGTTCTACACGACTAGGAGATTCAGAAGGTCTTTTGAGGATCTTAGTGGGAACAAAGGAGTTTTGACTATGGGTTGATGCATGAGAATTCCGGGATAAACTTGGTTTGGAGTTTGCAATGAACCTGGAATTTTGTCTAGCCTTAACTTCCTTTTTATGTGCATTTCGAGCTTCTACTTTGGGATCTACAATATCCTTCCTATTCAGCATTGGTTTTCTCTTAGGATGAGACGAGGATTTTGAGGTTTGTCCTACGGATGGATTCCTAAACTCAGGAGTAATGGGAACCAATTTAGTTTTTGAGACGACTAAGGAATCCGATTCGCAAGAATCAGAGGACACACAGCTTGAGACTTCAACTTTATCATCTAAGGATGCCCATACAAACTCAGAGGCAGTAGTTTCAGTTGTCACCGGAATGATTTCTTCAATCACACAATTGTTCACATGATTACTTCTAGGAACATAATCTACGCAATTTGTAAGACTGTGATGAAAATTTGTGGTCCGATTCAGGTCCAGGTTTATCAGAGGCGGAAGAGGCGTGGAATCAGGACACTTGACAACAATTGGTTTGAACTCAGGAATTAGGGACTCAAAATGGTCTGTAGTCTCAGGAAGTGGAGACAAGGGAGAAACAGGGGTGTCCGAATGTTTGATGTTCGGAACCTCTCCCATGAATGTCAAATTTTGCAATTCCTTCAAGGGACTAACAATTGGTTTCGGAAACTCGCTTCCGAGACCAGGTGCTTTAGACCATGGATGACGAAAATTATGAGTCATCCGAATGTCCGCTTCAAGCATGTCTACAGAATTATGCAAAGCATCTATCTTTGCATTGAGACGTTTGTTATCAGAAATTAAAACATTTCGTTCAGAATAGGTGATTTCACATTTATCTTTCAAAATGATACATTCATCGTTTGACATTACAAGCTCATGCTCTAAAGACTCGATTTTCAATTTTTTATCCTCAAAACGTAACCTAAGACGATTTAGTTCACAGTCCTTCTTCTCACTGGCTTCTATGGCAGACTCATAGGCTTTATAAATGGTGCTCATATCTGTTTGGATTTGGGTCAGATAAGGTTCACAAAGAGACAAATCAAAATTATTATCAGAGATCATAGATTTTACCTGCTGAACGATGCTTCGACCGGGTGGATCATTGGTGGCCATGTAGCAGTAGTGAGGTTCAGCAACATCATCTTCATCTTCCGACCCAGAAGACCAATATCCTTCATCACATTCAACCGTTTGTCTTGCCATCAGACACATGTTCCTTCCAGTTACCATATCATCATCATCCCCGGATGACCAATATCCTTCAACATCTCTTGAAACCGTTGTTACAAAGGCTTTTTCGCTTTCAGCCATCTCTTGTGCTCTTCGGACGTAGTAAGCTGAATCCTTGATTTTTGGTTTCTGCGGAGCATCAGCCAGGCAATCTTTAGCAAAATGGTTTGCATGTCCACACTTATGACACACAATTTTTGGTTTGTCCGATTTGGAACTCTGAGAGGGTTCCGGAGTAGAGTTTGGTTTAGTGATGTTTGGTTTGTATGCAGGAGGATTTTCCGAAGTTGGTTTAGGTTCCGGAGCTGAGTATGGTTGAGGATTGTTCTGGTGAGGAGCATGGAATCGGTTTTGGTATGGTTTGTAAGAAGGATTGAAAGGACGTTTGTACTTCATTGAGAGTAGAGCGAACTCCTGTTGGAAACGGAGTTCAGAGTCCATGGCTTCGGAATCATCAACAGGATAGATTTGTGTGGGTAAGATGGGTGCGGATGTTTGAACAGATGGAACAATGGGTTTAAAGGGATCCGAAGTAGATGAGTTCGGAATGGTTGATTCGAAAGAACTGACAAGGGCAAGAGGACCTCCGGAGAGTTCCCTTATGGTTTGAGCAACATTGACTCATGTCCTTGAAGTTCATCAAAAAGTTGATAGAGCTTCAACTTTTTCAAGGAACCATTGCTTTGGAGACAAGATTTTACATTTCCCCATCCTTTGCCGAGACTGTTTATGAATTTGAGATTGTACTCCAAAGGAGTTCGGACAATCCCATGAGCAGTCATGTTGTTGACCACGATTCGGTAACGGTTGGAGGCTGAGGCCACTGATTCACCAGGAGTGGTAGTGAAGGTATCGAAGTCGTTGACAACTGAGGTGAGGCGCTTGTCTTTCATATTTTCCGAACCTTCAATCAGGTCCTGAAGAGTGTCCCAAATCTCTTTGGCTGATTTGCACAACTTGATGTGCTCGAAGAGTGAAGGAGGAACACCAAACACCATTTCTGAGAAAGCAACTTGATCAGCATGCAGCTTCTCGATATCATCTGCAGTTAGAGGAGCTGGGCGAGTTTCATCTTCTCGCATGAGCTGAGCAGCTGCATCTCTTACAACTGTTCTTACAGGAACATGAGGACCTTCTTTGACGGATCTCCAGATTTCTTCACCTTTATCTTTGGCAGTAAAAATCTTTCCATTCTAACTTTCCAGTGATCATATTCTTCCACAACTAGTAATGGGGCACGTGTAGGGCCACCCACACTATTTGCGATTTGCATTGAAATCATTTGCTGAGGATTAGAAGCAGCCATTGAAGTTAAGATATCTTCAAGCTAAAGTGGTATATAGAAGAACTTTTATCCTTAACACAGAAATGGTTGAAATACCAAGGTAATTTCAAACCAACTATAATCTGATCTTATGGATTCAAAGGACAACCACTCAAGCTCTGATACCAATTGTGAGAACAAGATCGATCTGATGCGCAGGGACAAGGTTTGAGAACTCAAACCTTGAGTGAATGCTTAAGATCAATGTCTGCTTGCTAATAGATGTTCAAGTCAAGCCTGGAAAGACCAGTCAAGTCTTAGATAATATATTCAACAAATGATCAAGTCATTAAATGAGGAATGAGAATGAATGATCAAGGTAAAGCTAATAAATGAAGAACAAGAAGAATGTTTTAAATAAACTTAGTGAAATGCCAAAAGTTGAGTGAAAGATCCGTAGTTGACTTGTATTGAATGCTCCTATAAATAGGAGTGAAGGTTACAGCGAATTAACTAGAATACTTACATAGGACTGGACAATAGAAATGTTCCTGACATTCTGATTGTCTAAATACAACAAAAGACTAAGTCCTATGAAATGTCACATCAATACAAAGACAAACTAAATAAATGCACAAAGACAAAATAGAGTTGCTCCGGATCAGCATCCATTCCGGACATGAGAGTCATTCCGGAATGCCTTCAGCTTCGCATCTTCTTCTTTCCTGGTCCGGACAGATTCCGGACCACTCTTCACATTTCACTCCGGACCATTTGTTCCGGAATGCAAGTACTTCAGAATCCGGACTTAGGATTGCTAGAGGTTCACTTTCAGGTTCCAACAACCTGTTAATGATGACATGAGGGAGAATGGAGATGATGAGGCTGATGTTGTTACTAATTTGCCAAATATATTCAATGAAGAGCAACCCTGGAAGGAGCAACAACATGTGTTAGGTATGAAGTTTGAGAATCCAAAACAACTCATTGCTAATGGTTATCAACAATGTTTTAAGAAATGACAGTAGAAGGTTGTTAGTTAAATGTTGTGATGAAAGTTGTACATTTAGGCTTTGGGGTCATGGATGAGTGATGATAATTCCTTTCCAATAAAGTTGTATAATATTGATCAGATTGTTCTAGGAATTCAAATTGGTCAATTGTCACTTACATATGGATAGGAAGCCATTTCACCCAAGAATTGTAAACGAATCAGAAGATGATGTTAGGGCTGTTAGAGAGTAGGTCAAAAACACTTTAGGATTGAAGTGAATGTCAATGTAGGAGAGCAAGAAAATTTGCTTTTACTCTAGTTGAAGGTACACTTGCAGACAACTATGTGAGGCGACGTTACAGAAGGCAATTTTGGCTTAGTTATGATATGCTTTGCTTTGCGAATTTAGAGCAACAAAGTTACTGGCAGTGATTGTTTTAAGGCACCAACATCCTTTTTATACCCACTTCGGGTAATGAAGAGCCGAAACTTGCTCTCTAAGGGTGATACTCTAAACGACGTTGTATGGTCAACTTCAGTTGTGTACTACTGGTTTATGTTGCGTCATGTCTAAACGGCGTTGTTTCCTCCATATCATAACACAGCTGGCTTGATTTTGTGACGTGGCATTTGTGACCGGTAAAAATAAGTAAAAGGGACTAAGTGAACAGGTCTCTAACACATTTTGTTCCCTTAAAAGGCAAGAAAAAAAGTTTAGTGACCGAAAGGGTAAAGTCAAAATACATTATTGAGCCGTCATTTTCCCTTAGATCTATCTTGATAGATTAGTTAAATTTTTAAAAATATTTAAAAAAAAATTACCATTTGAGAAGTTTTTAATAAATGGTTAAAGCTAGTTGCGGCAAAGATAATTAGTCACACTGTGTGTTTTACAACTCACTAGTAACCGGAAGCTGTAGTTTTTATTTATTCATATATGTTTGACAAAAATAACCGTTAGCTTTTAAACATTTAAAATTAGTAAAAAACTAAAAGTTAATAGTTCTGAAAAGCTACTTGAACAAGTTTTTGAATTCAAAATTTTTATTTGAAATAAAAGTTAAAAACTCATGCTCTCCAAGAAAAAAAAACTAAAGCTATAATTTAAAAAGTCTCAAAAACTCTATATCAAATACGTTCATACGGAAATTGCAGTTACACTTAAATAACAAAAATCGACTACAATCGTATTTGTAAATATTATACCGACTTATTCTTTAATTATCATGTTATAAATAACAAAAGTGTGACACAAGAATCAATACACTTCACATCTTCAAGATCATCCTAATGGGTAGTTAAAACTGATTTTTCACCTTGCGGATATAACTTACACATAAATAGATATTACATAATTATAAATCAATGCTCTTGAACAAGGGCATCTATCCATATATATATCTGGTATAACACTAAATTCAATATGGGCGTTGACCCTCATAATTTCCTTGGGGATCATAGCTACATATAACGAACCACCAACCATTATGACACTTAAGTTTAGCACAACCAAGATGAATAGAATCACGCCAAACAACTTGTGTGTAGTGAAGGCATTCATCACCAACACACGAGTTCGATCCGTACTCATAGTATTGTTTCTCCCCGACCCACAAGTTAACAGCATCGGTTGCACTAAACTCATCACCATAACCTTCAGCTAGGTTTTCCCCAAAAGGTCCTTCTGAGTGACGCAAGTCACAGTCACCAAGTCTTTGGTATGCATACCCATGAGCATAGGCTGCAAGGGTCATGTTCCATGTAAGAGGTCGCACCCTGACCTGAGCTCGTGCTTTGTTGTGTGGAACAAGGAAGTATGAGCTTAGGTCTTGGTTGTGAGGAACAATGCCTAGTGCAATTGACAGATGTGTGAAGTATGAGAGCACGAAGAGAAAAATGGCTAGTGGGTTTATCCTGAAGAGCTCCATTAATTTCTAATAGTGTTTTGGTGCAAATGAAGCGTAATAACATGGGCAATACTTGTTGCTCTTTATATTGAATTAATATTATATTATGTTTTTGTTCTTTAATTTAATTTCTTTCACAGAGAGGAGTCCCACTTGTATATGAGAGTAATATAACAAAACAGTGCTTTTTCATTTACTTTAAAATGATTTAATTTGGAGATTTTATTATTATTAGCCGGCCCAATTGTCAAAATTTAGAATGTTAGCTATAGATAAAATGGGTCATGTGTGTCGGATGCGGTAAGAGTTCATCCGAAGTGCACTAAAGTGAAGTTTTTCAAAACAAAAAGTTAGATTAGTATTTAAAAGCAAAGTTTATGTAATCATATGCAATATATTAATTATTTATAGTTTATAAAAAAAAGACACAAGAAAATCATGAATCAAGTTATTCGGGGTCGAATTATTTAGATTCCACATTAAAAATTTATTAGTTTTGACATGTTATTCAATTTTCAGTTTTGGTGCTCCTAACTAAATTAAAACCGTACCATGTGTTATGATTGAGAAGATAGTTTAATAGTACTTGTACTTTAAAAATTATCATATTTACAAGAGTTCAAATGTCTTATCATTTTGTATATAATTTTCAAATATGCGACACTACAATTTTGCATGATCCTCGTATTTAATGATTTCCATCAAGTTGCTATTAGAATACAAATAAAAAAAATGATGATTTAGACAAGCAAACAACAAAAGTTCACATGCATATAAGAATACTTCCAGGGTATTATATATAAAAGATACATCCTGCAAATAAGGAAAGTCAATACTATCCAAGAACCACACAAAACACACACACACACTATATATATATATATATATATATATATATATATTTGTTGATTTAAAATAAATAGAAATAAAATTTATAATAAACAAATATTTTTTTTAATTCAACAAAATTTTTATATATATTTCGAAATTAATATTTAAAAAAATAAAAAAAATGCATTTTTTTATGCATATTAATATTTTTTTTTTAGAAAATTCACATTTTTTTCAAAAAAAATATTTATACATATGCACATCACAATATATATATATATTATATATATATATATATATTATATATATATATATATATATATAGATAGATTATATATATATTGGAATGCCTTAGATGAAACAATATTATCTCTGTAGTTTATTTTTTTGACATATTTGTACAAAAAAAATCTCATTTTAAGATGGTTTTTTAGAATTAGTGGTTCTAATTTGAACTTTACTCTTTTTCTCTCGCACTCTTTCTCTGCCCTTTTATATATATAATATAGATATATATAGATATATATCTATATATATATATATATATAGATAATATATATAATCTATATAATATATATATCGCAGATTGAAAAATGAAAAGTCAAAATTTAAATTTATTTCTCGTCAAAATTCAGCGAGATGATATTGTATGTTCGTAATTATTTACGAGATATTGTTAATTTTCGACGAATATTTAAATGTTTGAAGGTTGAATGGAAAAAGGAAAATAGTATGATTTTTCCGCAAACACGCGCCTATCATGGACCCAACTCTACTCTCATGCCACTTGTCAACTTCATATTGGTTCTTGCTTTTTTTTTTTGTAATTACTTCGTTTTTTGAAAATATTAAATTTCTTTAAATTTAATTTTCTACCAAATTAATATAGTAAAACAAATTTAAAAAAAAAATTATGTTTATTAAAACCCAAAAATTAAAAATATTTTTTCAAAAATTATAAAAATTTAAGATATTCTTCTTACTTAGCATGCTAGTGATTTTCTAAAAAGAAATTTTTAAAATTATGTCTTTTAAATGGTCATAATTTAATTTCAAGGAATATTAGTTTTTAAACATATCTAAATTCAGAAAATCAAATTAAATAGTTCTTCGTCATACAGTTTCATTGAGTTTGTAATAAAAATGAAAAGTATAGTTTTTAAGGGTACCTACGTTTTTTGGGGGAATCCAAAATTTTTATAAAAAATAAGAGGTAAAAAATTTAGATTTCCTAATTATAAATCTTTTTAAATATTTCCTATATATTATATATTATACACTTTTTAAATAGATTTTTTTTGAAAATAAGGTTGCTTAGATATCACATGTTATTTTACAAGATTACATGTTTTTAAAATAGTATTGTTAAAAATAAATATGATCCAAAATAAGATGATTCAACATATCCATTATCTAAAAAAGTTATAATACAAAACTTGATTAAATTGAATATATATAATCCAAAATCATATGATTCAAATATGATATTGTACAATATACTATTATTCAAAATGATATAATATAAAATTTTATGATCCAAAAAAATTGATATCTAAAAATATTATATTGCATAATGTCTTATGATTTAAAACTTTTATAATTCTTATAAATAAATAAAAAACTCAAACCGATATTTAGTCCAAAAAAACTCGTACTAAAAACATTAAAAAACAAAATAAATAATAATAATAATAGTAATAACAATAAACAAAATAAAAAAACAAAAACAAAAAGCATATTTTTATATAAAAAATACAATTTGGAAAATATACATAAGAACTTAAAAACTCTTGGAACCATACTTAAATTAGAATTTTTGGTTTTCTACATAACAATTAAAAAAAACACATCAAAATAGTCTTATATGTGCGATTAAGAGATTCGTTAGATATTTTTTGGCAAAAATGATTTTTTTTCATATAGATATAACGTATGTGTGTATACGCATACAATATATACAAACTAGAGGAGGCCCACCCGCACCATTGGCGCTGGTTTGAAGGTCAGAGAGAGATGGGTTGGTGTTGTTTGGGAGAACACAAGAAATAGCAACATAGTTTCATTGATTTATTTATTACATCATCATACTTTCATTTCTTTTGAGACCACCATCAAGAACTTTCTACACGACTGTATGCTTTACAAAGTAACATTTGGTCACCAGGTCCCCTTCATATCTTGATATGTACTATAAAACAAAAAAATGTTTATCAATCACTTAATCTCAAGCTTTGTGTGTTGAATCAAAGAAAGACACAAACACCAAATAGTGAAAATAACCTCCCAGGTACCTATCTTGAGAAGTGATGCTAGAAAGTTTGAAGCCTTTAACTTATTAGTAGAAGTAGAAGCAACAAAAGTGGTTTTAATCACACATAATTTCCTTTCAAGTGTTAATCACACATGATTTCCTTTTTTATAAAAAAAGTCAACGCTATTCTATGAAGAGGAGTTCCCTTCAGCAAGTCTTCAAGGGAATAGTCATCTTATTCTAGCTTCAAGGGAATATTCAACGCTATTCTATGAGAAGATGAAGATGTTGCTAAAGAAATTTATTGACTATTCACCTCTCCAATCCTTTCTAGAAACAGTCTCGACAACAGACAACTTCGCTGAGGTATCAACTTGGCTGAGGAATCTATCATTAAAGACATTCTTTACGAAATGACTATGTGTATGATCTCTATTTAAACTATAGCTTACCTACACAAATGATGCATCATTTGAAGCCAGAAAATGAAGTAAAGTATCTTCTATTTTAATATGTTATGTAATGATTACGTTGCAATAAGAACAAAGTTAACAGGGTCGATCCTTTATTTATGCAACAAAGTTAATACTGTTTTTATAGATATATTAAAAGAAGTGAATTTCTTATCAATATTGGGGTTTAGAATTCTCAAAACAATCTAAAGCTCATAATTCAATGTTAAAGGGAATCATCTCCAGTTGGTAAAACTCACCAAACGAAACGTATCTTTAGTGCCATTGGGAAAAAGTACAACTGGAATAAAGGTTCAGGTTGTTGTACCAAGAGCATATGAGACATCCTAAAATATAGTCAAAAAAATTCGTTTTAATTCATTAGTAAAAACCATCAATATCATCCATCACATAAAAGTTATAAACCATGTATCTCAAAAATATCATATATCTGTCAATGTATCAAAATCATATGTCAAAAATCAGAGTAAATCCTCTCAGGCTAAAAACTGTGGTGTGTGTCATGCAGTCATTCCGAGCTCTTCCCCTTACTAGCGGAAGTACCTGAAACCAAAACTAAAAACTGTAAGCACGAAGTTTAGTGAGTCTCCCCAACTACCACATACCATACACATATCACATAAACATATCTTGGGCCCCGCCCCTGCTACATCGAGTCAAGCTCGTCATTGGCTTTCCCAGCATCGAACCCTATTCGGCATTGGGCCCCACCCGGCATCGAGCCTCGCCCGAAATCGAGCACATCTCGGAATAAATGTGAACATAATCAAATAATACACATAAACCTAAACATATATCATTAACATTTAAACATTCCTCGGGCCCCGCCCGGCATCGGACCGTAATCCGGAAACATACTAACATTCCTCGGGACCGCCCCGACATCGGACCGAAGTCCGAAAACATACAAGTACAAACACATGCAAGAATCACAAAGACATTAAGCATACAAGCATTCTTCGGGACCGCCCCGACATCAGATCGAAATCCGGAAAAGCATATAAACCTACATCGGGCCCCGCCCGGCATCGAATCCTAGTCCGGAACTACTACTAACTAAACGGGCCGACCTTGGTGCCTTAGACCCGTTCCTACTGGAGGAAACTCACCTCGTATGCTAGCTGTGAAATCTCTTGTGAGGAATCTCTGACGAATGCTCCAACGACTCCCCGACTATCAATTTCAAAAATAACACTTAATCAAAATCTCATAATCCTTCTTAGGGTAAAATGACCATTTTACCCCTGGTCAAAGTCAACATCCTGGTCAAATTCAAAGTCAAGGTCAACTCCCAGTCGACTCAACTCCTCGAGTTACCTCCTAACTCGACGAGTTCCTATACTACTCAGACTTGTGATCAATCGAGTCAACTCGTCAAGTACCTTCACAGACTCGTCGAGTTCTACCTGGCATAGAATCGGGACAACCCGACTTCAACTCGTCGAGTCCCTTTCTGGACTCGCCGA